TGACAGGATAATCCTACGATTTTCTCCCTGTATATTAGGCTATGTTATTTTATAATTTACTTATGGCGAACGCAAAGGTTGATCTAATTTTGCGCAACACTACAATCTAAATGTCTACCTGACCTGGTTACTGAATATCTTCTTAAATATGATCTTATTACTAAATTAAAATCATTTATTTATCCATAAAATCGGGCGCTTTATATCTCTGACATCATGTATTCTCTTATCCTTTCTTAAGATTCTTTCTTAAAGATCACCGTCTGAGTAGCCGAATTAGTAAGAATCGCGACTACCAAATCGGCTGTCGCGCGTTCAAATCTCAAGTGCAATAGGGTTTTCATTGCCCGTAGATCATATGAGTCAGCTTATAATGCATAGCATTCTCATCGATTGGACATACATTCATTCGCTAGGCTGTGGTCACCAATTCTCTATGCCTTTCTTTTTCCTGTCACCCAAATAGGGCGCATCCCCCGAATGGTTGGTCATATTAAAAAAAAAATAATAATAATAATAAAAACCCTTGAGTTAAGACTTTGCTATTTTATCCACATACTATAATATCTACATGTACATTTATCTAGTAGCAGTCTCCAAATTGTCATTTCCCTTATCACGGACATTAGCCGGTGGAAAGTCATTTGTTGCAATAAGCGTGTTGCGTTCGTTGTCGAAACAATCTCCCATCAAATCTAAGAACTATTGCCAGCGGCGTCGGCTATTTGCTTTTGGGCAATGCTTCATTACTTGGAATAGTCTGAAACTATGTATTGGCAATGATCTCTTATCCATGAGAGATTTTTTTATAAGCATCCTAACAGACCTTACGCGTATAACTACAGAGTTATATAATTTACTTGCACATTGAAAACATATTTATATTAAACTGCATAACAATAATGCATGGATTTGAGGTTTATCTGAGCTCTTTAGTTACAGAATAAGTTGAAATTGAAATTCAAATTGAAAAACTATTATGATCTCTCTAGACCCATTACCGAGCTTAGTATTCCGTTTTGATAATAGAACGAAATTTTAATATTCTATAATATTGAATAGGCGTGGCCGAATTTTCCGTTTTTGTACAGGTGCTCCAGGACAATCAGTAGAATATAAAACAAAAATTTTTGTCACTGCATTTATTGTGGTTTATAACCAACGATTAAAACAAGGCTAAAGTCAGGTTATGTTGTGCTACGGCTGCATTCTCTCTCCAAATTTGAAGCCGATTGCTGCATTTTTGCGACCCGGCAGACAGGCGGACATGCTTAAATGGCAATTAAGTGCTGATTAAAAATATGTACATATATATACCTTATGAGGTCTCGGGAGCTTCGTTCTGTGCACTGAAAAAATTTCGACAGATTGAATATTTCCCCCCTCATGCTTGGCATAACATTGACTTTGTAATAGGTAAGTTAAACTAAGAAATAGAACGAATAGCTTGCAGGTGGCCAAAGTGTACTGTACATAATCGTTTCACGTTTTCATAACCAAAAATCTTCTTCTATAAATAACGCTATAAGAATTCCCTCTATCGGGCTTAAATTTGTTTACGTTTTCCGATACATTTGCCAGAGATGGAGATGGATAGGATAGGAGTTTTATAAGATTCGCTTATTATTATTAATATAGCCGGGGAATGAATTCTGAGACCTAAGTCTTAAAGCACTAGCATCTAAAGGCTTTCGGCTTTATTAAAAAACTTTACCGCACTTGAGATTTGAACCCACGACCACGGAGTTGCTGCTCGAGATTCTTGCGTACTCGGCCACTCAGGCGGATTCGCTTTTCTATTTGTTTCTTCTGCTGAAAGTTTTTCTTTTTCTGTCTTTCGTTTTATTCATATTTATAGTAAAGCATTGATATATATATATATATATATTACTTCGTTTAACGTGAATATTTTACTGGCTATTATGTCAGGTTTTAAGTTTTTTTTTACTGTTACTTATTATCAGTAGAAAAAGAGGTAAACAACAAATATTTTAAAAATAAAACGAAAAACCAGAAAATTGCACTTTTTATGGGTGACAAACAAAATAATTAAAAACTTTATTGGAATATATTCCAAAAAAAAAAAAAAACGAACGCAAACGCACGTAATACATAGAATACATTTTTTACTAAAGAATATGTGAATATTGGCACATCCACATTTTTGGATTACTTTGAAAACTGCAAAAAAAAAGCTGTGTTGGTCGCTTGGACAACCAGACATTCTCATTTAAGCACATTTTAAATTAGAAAAAAAAAAAAAATGTTTTCAAGAAACTGTTGTTGTTTTACTAATTGATTAATGATGAGTTCTGCTGTTAAAAAATAAATAAATGAAAAAGCTATGTTTCACCTCCTTCTTGAAAAACCAATTATCGCAAATTTTATGGTACAAATTTATTAGAGAATGATGGATTGGAATATGTTCCACCACCAATACTTCCAAGGTAGATAAAGGAGTCGAGAAATACTACGCTTGCATATGAGCTTTTGTTTTTTTTTGATCATGTGCTATTCTCGTAATCTCCGATATGCGCGCTTCACACATCCGATAAGAGAATCACATCATTGAATTGTGCCATTAATAACGAGTGAGAAAATTATATTCAGCTGCAAATGGGTCTTTTATGGCACCTGTTTTTTTTTTTTTTTTTTTTTATAACCGAAATATAAGGAGTATACACTCATTTTGTCAAAAGGTTTGCAACGCCCATAAAAACTCTTGATCAGCATCAAATTCCAAATCGATTTAACTATGTCCATCTATCCGTCTATGTATGTAATGTCTGTTGTAAACAAACATTTTCCTGGCCGCAAAAATCAAGCTATCGACTTCAAATTTGGCAGAAACATTGGAAGTTTTTGCACGCAGATTGGCATTGAAAATGAGCCAAATCAGTCAAAGGACAAACGCACAGCACCACGTAAATTGACAACACCTCTGTTTTTCAACGGTATAGCGCAAATAAATGTACAAAAATATAAACGCCTATTCTATGGGCGATGCTGTAACATCTATGCACAAAAAATGAAAAAAATTGACTACGCCTATCCTCCAATGTTATAGTGTATAAAAATTTGTCATATTTTTTCAATACCTTTAAAACACGCCGAAACAAGTTCCAAAAACCCCACAAATTATACAAATTCTTGGCCAGGTACAATTCTTGAATGCACCTAAACATGTCCGCCTGTTCGTCGGTCCATCTGTCTGTCTGCGTAACTTTGTAATATTTGTGGTAAACATTCTCCCGTTAGCGAAGATGAAGATATCGTATAAAAATTTGTAATTGACTTAAACATTTCAAAGGACACGCTTATAAACGCCCACATACCGCGGCGCCAAAAACTTTTATTTTGAAAATAGAAGAAATCAATTGCGCCCGCCAATATTATAGAGCATGAGAATTTTGTTCTTTTACCTCTTTTCGTATAAAAGACTCGGTCCCGACCGTATTTAATTTTCTTGCCTCTTATTATATTATATAATATTGGGTGAGCATCAAGGTCGATTTTTTCCAAGTGAAAGTTTTTACTGCTATATCTCATATCGTTTATGTAGTAATGGGCTAAAGATCCAATTTTTTTTTTTTTTTTTTTTTTTTTTGTTTTCGAAAGCAGAGATTTGGACCCAATGTCTTTCATCTTTTTACCAAATTCTGAAGCCGATGTCTTTATTCTTGCGGCCATGAAAATGTTCATCCTAGATATTATACAGACGGAGAGACAGATAGGTTAAATTGATTGAGGATCAAAAGTTTATATTTCAGATAGGATCTCTGAAATTTCTTTCGGAACGTTGCAAATATTTTGACAACATGTCCTTCGACAGTAAATATAAAAAGCTTTTATTTTTAAATGGGCGGTCTTCTCGAATTAAGACATAATTAAGTAAGTTTTTAATTATGCTTACTATTCATAAGCCGTGAAATACATTGATAAACTGGCGCATAGGAGTAACATTGTAACGAGAAGAAGCAAAGAAATGACGAGGATTAGGAAAACTTAGTCCAAATTTTGCGAAGAGAAACTTGAGAAATTCATGAGTAAATAAAAGCATACCCAGCCGCAAAAATAAAAACCCTGGTATGGAGTAAAAAAAAGTCCGTTCACTCATTTTCCTGTCGCAGAAGATACGCCCGGTGGTGGTCGGGAAGGCGTGTAGGTAGATACATAATAAATAATCAATAATAATTAAAAAAAGTTAGTTTACACTATGGCTTCTCTTACTTCCATTAACTTGAAAGTGGTACATTAAAGGACCTTCACTTTTTCTCATTTAAGAAAATGTCTAGGGAGATTTTTGGATTCTCAACTATTTTCTATTTTTTTTTTCCTTCGGTGCTGTAAAAGGGATAACTCGTCAGCTTTCCATATTAGGCACTCCTACTAAAGCACCACGTGCCTAAAAAACCAATTGATATATGTGAAGCATATCAGACGACCATAGCAGAAGGAGCTTCAGCAGAAACTGCTTAATAAAGAATATGAAAGTTATGCATAAACGGACCGATCAAGGGCAATATTTTGTTTAAGAGCAATATTTATTTTCATTATAACATGATGAGACTGAAAATCCCATAAGGCGTGAAATTAAACAAAACAACAAAATACTAAAATATATACTTCGGCCAGCAACAGGGAGAGTAAGCATTTACCTCATTTCAGAAAACTTAACATCTTTTAATTTTCATGGAGAGAACGCTTTCTTAATTAAGATAAGGGTAACCACCATTTTAAAGGAGCACTCGAGAGATAGGGAGATCATCGAAACCGAAAATCAAGAACGTGATCTGCTTACTAGAAAGTTCACTGCACTGTTCTTAAGATAAGTTTATGGGAAAATGTATGACCTAAAAACACACACAACGTTTTTAATTTTGATAAATGTAGCGTATGTTGTACTACAGCAACAAATTCAAAGCATTTTAGAAAAATGTAAAGTTCGAAAGGAAAATTTTTCCGTTGCGATACAATCGCAAGGTAGAGGCAGAACTTACCTTCGACGTTAGAAGCTATTAAGCGGGATCCGTAACAATAAACGACTTCTTCTTGTAGCCAATCGTTAACTACAAATGCTGTGGTGTTATGTCTTTGATGATTATGGTTTGCATTGATTCCTGATGTGGTCGCTGCTATTGGAGCGACTGTTACTGTTGCTCCTGTTGCTGTTATGGCGGCATTAATATTATTGTTAATGTTGTGATTATGATTAATATTATTATTATTATTATTGTTATTATTACGATTGTTGCCACTACTTTTAGGGTTATTGTCTTGACGTTTGCTCGAGTTACGTGATTTACGTTTAATATTACTGACACTATTTGCATTTTGGCCGTTACTGATTGGAGCCGCTGCTGTTGATATGCCGGAATCCGAAGAATTATTCTTTTGGACTTGCGGCTGCTGTAATCGTTGTTGTTGTTGTTGTTGTTGTGTATGCGTTTGTGGTAACGGCATTTGCGGCGATTGTTGCTGTTGTTGTTGTTCTTGCTTTGGTAGTGATTGGAATTGTTGCTGTTTTTGTTCTGTTAATGGTTGGGGTTGCTGCTGTCGCTGCTGTTGCTGTTGATGATAATTATGTTGATGCTGATTATTATTATTATTCTGATTATTGTTAAGGTTATTATTGTGATTTTCTTTATGATGTTGTTTTGTTGTAATAGGATGACTTGCTTTGCTGCTATTACGTTGCATAGTACCATCTGCAAGAAAATATAAGAGAATTTTATGAAAAAATTATTTGATTCATATTTTATATCTGATTAAAAATAATCTGCTTCTTTTTTTATTATTTATAAAAATTTTTCTTTTATTTTTAATTTTTTTTTTTTTTTTTAATGTATTATTTTCCATTTTAATTCACTATTTTATTAAGCCATTTCGTTTAGTCATTGTAAGCAAAAATAAAAAAGGAAATTAATTGCCTTTTAAGGCTTGAAAATCTATAAATAATTTTACAATCAATAGGGAAAAAAATAATCAAAAGCAGTGACGAATTTTCATATGAAATAATGATTCATTCATTTGCAACCAAATTAACTGCTGCCTTTTATACACCATATAATGTATATGTATATGCATGTGTAACGTGTGTATATAAAGTATATCGTGTGTATACATATAGTATTGCTTGTGCGCTTGTTTCTCTAATTGTCAAAGAAATTTTATTCACATATACAGTACATTGCTGTGTGATTTTCGCAAAACATGACAATATTTTCCCATAACTTTTAACGCCTGCCAGTTTAAACTTGAAATCTGAAATTTTATTGAAACACACACCCATACTTGATATATGAAAAAAAAAAAAAAAAAAAGAACGGGGCTGGACACATGCAAAGTTTATAATATTTTTTTTAATCTTAATTTATATAATTTATTCAACAAAGGTGCCCACTCTCTCCTCTCGGCTCATTCCTCTCTTTATATGTATTTATAATGTATAAGTGAATTTCTCCAAGATTTCCTTAAACAAATGATTGGTTGCTGTTACGTTTACTTTAGCTGGTTTTTATTATATGAATTATAATAATAAAGCAGAATGAATATTTTGGTTAATTTTTTGTTTTTATTATTGAACTTGAATTGCATTTTTATATATAAAAAACTTTGCCAGTTTATTGAACTTGAATATTACAAAAACAATAAAGTAATTGCTTCTCTGCTTACCACATACACGTAAACGTAATATATTTATAACGAAAGAAAGTATGTTAACTTTTTCACACTCGTTGCACCGTTATGTCTAACTATTATATTATAAAATACGCGTTCCATCACCTAATTAATGCCACTTACCTACTTTAAATAAAAAGCAAAGAAACTTTCAAATTCAAAAAAAGACGTTCACTTTTAGAACCAAAGCATAACGATGGGAAGGAAAGAAGGTGGAAAGATATTTCAATTTTGCCATTCCGTGTGTTGTGCTTGAATGGTCAAATAAATTCACGATTGAAACCAGTCTGCCAGTTTTCATCGTCATCATCATCATAATCATCATCATCATCATTATCATCATCATTATCATCACTGCTAATGTCATTGTCTTGATAGCAGCAGAGAATGCAGTGATGCTAACCCGTTTCCCTAGGGGAGTTTTACTTAGGGGGGCGAATTTCTTCGCTTTTATTGGTGATAAAACACAACAATAAGTTGCAAATGTACAGTATATGGTTGAAAAATGGCAATAAAACATATTTCAAAATATTTAATAACTATAGTAGATTTTCAATATAAGAATTTTGATCGCTAACTGAATGGGGAGCGTTATAGTCGGCCAAGACGAACGTTTAGATACACTCCACCGTCGCGTTTGGGACAGTTATTCACTTGTACTGGTAATAATACGCTAGACATTACACATTATCCAAATTTGCCACTAAACTTAATTTACTGCTTAGAAATTTTATTATTTTTCAATTTCCGTCATAAAAACCTAAAAAATAGACTTTCACTCTTTATATAAGCGTTTGGTTTTCATGATGACCCTGTTATATATCAGGATCTAAAAAATAGGCCTATATGATCCAAACACATTACTATTAGTTTTCTTGTTTAATTTATTACTCTATGAACCAGTTTTCGTCGTAAAATATTCATCGTTAAACATTTTTCTGAAGAGCTAAGTATTTGCGAGAAATCTTATATAGGGAGTGGGGTCCAAGAAATGTAATTCATTTTTTATCAGACAAATTGCTATCATGAACAAACTATCTTATAATGTTAACAATTCGCATATAAGAGTTTATATATCCTGAGACTCCTTAGTTATGGTGATATCCAAAAAAATAAACATACGAGGTCCAAATTCGGTAATGTTGATTTCTATGTCAACTTATTATTATGAATTAATTTTCACCATGAATTATTGAAATAATGATACCTCTTTACCATATAATGATTCGTTTATCGGTTATGCGAGCGTGTTCAAAAAATTATCTCAGCACGCCCAATCAAATTTCTTACACAAATTTAGAATGTCGAAATACTCTTGCTCAGCGACTTTTGTCGAGAAATTTTCTTTCATATAATAACTTTTCAAAATAAAGCATTATGTAGGAAGGTGATGTGGTGGTCGAAAGAGTGGACCGATCCAAAACAATTTCAATACCGTTCGTCCTTTCATTCGATCGAAGCAACTCAGTATACCAAAAAGGACAGACAGACACACAAACTCAGATCGATTCAAGTAGTAATTCTGAATCGACCGGATCTACCTCATGTTCTATATATACCCGCACAAACTTAATATATCCTGCGCCACAAGTGGTGTAGGGTATAAACACAATGTCAGCGAAAGGTAATGCTTAACTTTGCAAGGCTTTTTTTCTACTAATTAAAAAAAAAAATCTTTCTTTATGTAAATTTTTTCTTTCTCTGCTAACAAAGCAATTCTTATCACGTCTTAATGCAATTAAAAGATTATTTTTCACTTCTTTTTTTTTTTGTAAAATTTCACCTGCAATTTTGCTTTTATGCTAGATAAAGTAACAGAGGGTTCCTATACACATCGTATATAAATAATCCGAGCAAGACCAAGGTCACATTAAATGTATTATGGTATATCTTTATTTTATTTGGTTTGATTTTTTTTCTTTTCAACGATAAAAAGTGCTATAGCGAATGTCATGGCTTGTTTTTAGCTGATTTAATTAAATTTCAATATTATAATTTTTCACTTCTAAAGAAAGAAAAAAGAAATTCTGTCTTTTTTTATATGTTAATCAGAGAAATTCTCAAGGTCTGTTTTTATTTTATTTACTTTTTTGTGTGTTACTGCGGTTTTCTTTGTGTTTGTTATTATTATTATTTTTTTATTTATTTTTTTTTTTTTTTGTCTCTTTTTTTATAATATAGGAATTCTGTTAGAGGTCGTAGAAAGTTTTTTTTTATTCTATTTGCTATATATCAGAAACAGGTAGTAGCTTAAGTCATACAAAATGAAGTATTGTAGGTTTTCATACAATTCATAAGTAATTGCCCAAATCAATATATTTCAGTATCGTAGCCTATTTTGTGCGATTTCTTCAAGATTCGAAATACAAAATTCAATTACATTAAAATATCTAACAATAGAAAATCAATCAATTAGCTAAGCTTCTTTTCAAGCGCATCCAATTAACGTTACAAGCAAGTTAAATTAAACGGTCAACGGTTCGCCAAGAGAACCCTTTCAACTTTTAAAAGAAAAGTTGCGATAGAACGGTAAGGACGGAAGTTTGATATGGTCGTGACAGACTCCTTCGACAACTCCGCGTCCGCGTAAGTATAAAACGCATTGCATGGCGCTATGATGATTGACCGTTTTTCAAGAATAAGAAGGGAAAACAGGCTTTTTAGTTGGCAGTTTCCAAATTTGAGAAGAGATCATATGTAGTTGTTTTACTTATTACCTTATCATTCAATGTTCATCTATAAGCAGGTATTAACATATGTAAATGTAGATAGATAGGAAATAATATTCATTTCTTTGAAAAAAAAAAAAAAAAACAAACCAGTGACGAGAATTTTTTATTTATACCCATCGCGATTATCCTTAAAAAGACAAAAAAAATTAAAAAAACTCCAATTTCATGCTCTTTACTAAGGAATGGGCGCGGCTGTGGGCGTTGTAGGCATGTTTTAAAAAGTTTAGATCGCTTCCAGATTCTTTTGTAAATTTCTAAGCGATATTTATATTTTCGCTAACCGGAGAATGTTTACCACAAATACTACACGGGTGGACAAACGAATAGGCGGGACACGTTCTACATTTGAAACTGGCCAATAATTATAGAAGAATACTTCACGGGGTTTTTTAATTTTTTCCTGCGCCTTATGAAGGTATTTAAAAGCAACTTAAATTTTGACACATTATCATATTGAGTAGGCGTGGTAAATTTTTTCCATCTTTGTATAATTGCTTGTGAACTTATTTGCTGTAGTTCTTGACTAACAGGTAAAAAATCAATTTTTTATTCCTTTTGCAAAACGAAGATCATCTCAGTTTGCGTAACACCGTAGGCGTGTCCATTTAAACAATTTATCCCATTTTCAATGCCAACTTGCATGCAGAATCTTTCAATGTCTTCACCAAATTTGAAGTCAACAGCTTTATTTTTGAGGCCAGGAGAATATTTAAAACAGGCATAACGCCGAGACGTACAGACGGACATGTTTAAATCGATTGCGAATTTGACTATGTACATTTTGTGGGCTCCCTGTTAGTTATCTTCTGGGCGTTGCAAATGTTTTGACAAAATGAACATAGCACCCATGCTTGGGTGATGGATATAACAACGCTAAACAAAACTTTCGAACAAAGAAATGAAAAAGCGATGTATGGTTTCAAAGGAGACTCTACATATTATGTAAGGCCAAACGTAGGCAATACATACGCCTTCCTTAGGTATTGCGTGGGCAAATGCATAGTGAAGTTATTGGAATGATTTCTACTTGATTTGAAAACTTTATTTAAAGTGTAATACAGAAATTTGATATGATATTTTTTCCTCATCTCTCTCATCCGATCAGTTCGGAAAGTCAATAAAACCACGATTCAATGGCGAACCAGAATTACGAAAAAGTGGAGTTTCCTCGGGGAGCAAAACTTTAATTCCCTTTACTTGGGTTTCAATAAGAGCACTTCAAAAATCACTTCTAGATTTTAAAGGGCTTAACAATCTGAAGGCCAATCAAACAGGCTTAGGCTAAAGGGTTGAAA